TCTCTCTTCCTTCCTCCGTCGCTCTCTCTCTCTCTCTCTCTCTCTCTCTCTCTCTCTCTCTCTCTTTCTCTATCTCTCTCTCTCTCTCGCTCGATCACACCCAGGAGCTTCTTGCACAACTGAACTTCAATATCATGATAGCATGACAAAATAAGTGTGATATAGCAAAATCTTTGATATATAGCAGAATCGTTACACATCATTATCATCACTGTCACTGGTCGGCAACATGTCATTCCTAGAGTCCTCATCATTCTGGCACTGAGTGCTGCACTGGCAGAGGTCTGTGCATGATAAGTTATTGGACCTGCTAGAGCATCGAGATGTTGAACAGTCTGCTCTGCACTGGCATCTTACCATCTCAATGATGGCATTGGGGGCTGGGAGAACCTCAGTTGTGATTGGTTTCACCTGATCAGCTGCCGTGTCCTTGTAGAAGCCATACTGCAGCGGATCCAGGAACTCCTGCTGAGCAATGCTTGCCTGACCCCATACTGTGGCCTGGATCTGGACTCTGTGGATGTGCTGCTTGAGAGCACCAAGGGTGGGAGGCAGCTTGTCACTTTCAGCCATATGCTTGCAGAAAAGATGCCATCGCAGCTCAGGGATGCTCGCAATCTGGATGCTCTTTGGTGCGTATGCAGCACAGACGAATGTAGCCAGCGTTGACAGCAGCTCTTCAGTGACTTCAGTGGCATCTGAAGCAGTGTTTACCACTGAGCAGAAAAAGCTGTACGCCTGCAGGGCCTATAGCTCCTAAAAGCTGCAGGCCCGCCAGCAAAGCTGTAGGCACGCCAATTTTGGAGCAAATTACAGTAATAAAACAGCATATCATGTTCTTCCTTGTGTTTATTAGTCATTATCAATGTCCATAATCATAATCCCCAGGGTTCTCCAAGCTTTTCATTATATAGTCAGGGAATATTATCAGATATCTGGCAAATCTGGGAATAAATTCCTTACCAAGAACTTTCTTCACCAATGTGTTTGTAAAGGTGTCTACTAACATATTTCAAAAGATTTAAATTCAACTCTCCTAGGACAACCCGTGACAGCTGCTGAAAGTTGGGGTACCCGGAACCTTATCCAGGAAAAATTGAAATTTTTTTCATTCTGCCTTAAGCAGCTTGTGAGGGGTCAAACTAGGGGTTTTTCATGATTCTGAATTGATTGCAAGCATTTGTTTTGCACCAAAACCATTCCTTGTCAGAAAAACGGCATGGGGTGCTGCTCAGTGCTAGGGGGGTCCGGGGCATGCCCCCCGGAATATTTTTGAATTGTAGAAGCTCTGAGATGCAATCTGGGACACTCTGTGTGTAAATTTGAAGCACTGCATGTGGGGTGAAAATGTTTGTTTTGCATGGGCAAAGCCATCGAAAAATTCAAAATAATAATGGAATAAAAATACCAAAATGTAGGGGTGAACTTGCTGGTTTGCTGGTTCCAAATCGAGTTCACCTCTCATAAATCAGAAAACCTGACGTATACCAGTGTTGGAAATAGCAGCTGGTCCCAAAGTCCCTGACTGGTAACTTTTCAGCAGGGCTGGCTACTTTTGAAGCAGGACTGGCTAATTTTCAAGAAAATTACTGTAGCTTATATTGCGGATTTAAAAAAAAAATTAATCAGGACCGGATGGAATTTTTGTCTTATTTCCAACACTGCATATACATACCAACTATACTGGTACTGTAAATCTTCTTATATCATTTTACTCATTTGTATTATGTAGTTTTACTATCGACAGCTTTACAATACTGTTCTGGATCTGACTTACCATTTGCCTTTGGCTATGTCCACTGTTTGTATTTTGTTATTGTGGGCTCTACCCCTAGTGTTATGTACACAAAATACAATGGCAGGAGTGGTCGGTAAGTGTACCAGTCTACTCTACCTCGTGTTAGACTGGGTTACCTGCCCCGTAATAATGCTGTTGGAAATTAATTCACGATTTAATTCACGATTAAGATTTCTTGATGAGCTAGAAAACACTCGGATTTGAAGTATGAAAATTAACATTATTGTGCCAGCTAGCCTACACCAGTTGGTTGGGATTGATTGTCAGTTCAGATGCAAAATATTGAAAGCAAATGGTTATACACCATAGATTAATTGGGTACTACACGCATATATAAGATAGCCGAGTCGGTTTAGAGTTAGAGGTAGTGGTAGGGTTAGGTGATTTCTACAGTTGACAGTTTCTCAGTGTTTTGAATTTTCGGTGATCAAATAGCTGTAGGATCAGTGGGCCTGTTTTATCAAGAAGCTGTAGGCCCGGCATCGAAACTGTTGGCGGCGGGCCGACGAGTCGACGTGATTTTCGAACACTGATCTGAAGGCATCTGTAGAGCATTGATGACTTCTCCGCCTGCTTTGAGGTAGACTTGCAGCTAGGTTGCCTTGCCTATGTGAGAGAACCTCCCAGTGTTGTCTGCCGCCGTGAATGCATGGAAGGCTGGCAAAGCCTTTGCTCTTTCTGGACCTAGATCTGTCCATATTGGCTGCACTTGGACCACTCCGGAAGCCATCGACATGGACGTGTTTCTCAGCAGGTCATAATGTGCTATGACCAGCACCAGAACATCAGTGCCTGGGGAGAAGACCACCAACTCTGCATCAGGTGGGTTCCTCTGTGATGCCAGCACTGCACGGTAGATCAGCAGTGTGTCCGCCTCTTCGTGATTGTTGTCCTCGATTAGCAGCTCGCCATTGCTCCTAGTATGCCCTGCGGCAGATGCGATAACCAGCTTTGACGAGTCTTGGTTGTACTCCAGGGTTTTTGCTGCCAGATACTCAGTCAGATCAGCCTTCGTTTTGTCGTGGGAAAGGAACCGGCTCATTGGGCTGTGCTTGATGCTGGTGTCATCTCTGATCTGATATTAGATCGGATCCTTCCCTTGTCTCCGTTTCTCCCTTGTGGTACTCTTCAGGGAATCAGCCTTGTATGTGTTAAACACCAGAATGATCTCATCACAGTCTCTTGTGAGAGACATCAGTCTGGTATTGAAACATTCACTTAGGTCTTTGACTGTCACTATCGTGGCTGGCTTCTTTGTTAGCTTCTGCACGACCACCATACCGTCTACCAGTGCAATTTTTCGACTTGGATGAGGATCTTCAGTGGGTGTGCAGTCCATGGTTTCTGGATCCACTGCATCACGCTGCAGAATACTTGCATCATGCAGCTGCTGCTGCTGATCTTCATCGGGCGGTTCTGCTGTTCCCAGCTTCTCAAGGTGTATCAACTTGGCAGCATACATGTTTCACGGATTCAGCCTTTGTGCATGTGTTCCCCTCAGAGCAGGCAGCTTCTACTACCTCCGTTGCTTCTAAGCAGATGTCTTTCAGTTGTGGGTTGTCCGTGAAGAACTCCTCCAGTGCCATCTCATAGAGTGCTACATATGAATAGATGTGGGCACGGAGAGCACGCTTGTAGTGTGTGCATTTCAGGATTTGTCTTGTTGTGGCAGAACCATAGACATCAGCTTCCATCCAGGCATCATCTATGCCGGAGTTTTCCATGGAGGCTCCAAGAGCTTGCAGAGCAGCCATGACGACGTGTTGTTCGCCCAGTCTGGGGACAACTGTGTGCTTCAAGTCAGGCCTGGCATCTAGCAGTTGCACCACGTTTTCGTAAAAAGCCATGTCAAATGAAATGGCCGTCGGATGATCTTCACCATCTGCCAAGTACCTCAGCTGACTTGCTTGCATGATCAGTCAGTAGGGTCGGCCATTCGTGTGCCACCTCTGGCAGTAGTGGTAAGGCTCCAACCTTGGTCA